GGGCCTGGAGACCCCCCAGGTGTGCTCCCCAGGAGCCTTAGGGATCCCCTAGGGCAGGGACACCGGAATTCGTAAGCCTTCTGTCGCAGCCCCCTTTGCCCGGGAACATACTGTGCAGAAGGCAGAATCTCGCTGTCTGAATATTTTGAGATAACGTGTTCCACCTCCACAAGGCTACCCGGCACCTGGTGGCACCCATGAGGGCCATGGGGGAGGAGGGGGGCACTTCCTGGCAGCAGGGCCAGCCATAGCTTCACACTCAGCAAGGCTAGCTTTCCCGCCCCCTTTCCCGCCTTCTGGGGCTGTCCACTTGGGCGGGCAGTGCAGCCCTGCCACACAGACCCATGAGGGACACAATGACCACATAGTGCACATAAAGTGCCGGGGGCATTGTTCGGCAGGGGACAGCAGGAGAGAAAGGCAGACTCAGTGGGCTTACTGGTGCGGGGTGGGGGTGGGGGGCCAGATTCTGTCTAGGGGGATCAGCGAGAAGAAATAACGCAGCAGATCCGGTTGGCCAATATCCCGGGCTACGACAGGACAATGGCTGGCGGGTGACCGACGGGCAACCGGCCGCATGGCAGAGAGAGGGTACTCTGGCCAGAGTGGCCGAGTGGGCCCCTCTGAATAGGTGACGTTGGAGCTGGGATGAAAAGTCTGGAGGAAATCCCAGGGGCCGGAAAGGGCTTCATTAGACTACCTATTGGGGTAAATTGAGGACGGGACCACTGGGTGTCCTGTGTGACCTTGAGTGCCCAAGTAAGAGAGGAAAACCTCAAACGACAAAAAGAGCAGAACCCATTGTCATGACCCCAGTGCCGCCCCCCACTCTGGACCGGACGGTAGCATGTACACAGGTAAAGGCAAGAGATAAGTCTCAGGACACACGGAACCCAGGAACAGGGATGGGAATAGTGCTACCAAAAGGGGAGGGGGAAGGCGGGGAGAGCAGGGGAGGAAGGGGGTACCGGTTACAACGAATGGCACGTCACCACACACCCCCTCCAGGGGGAAGAACAACAGAAACCAGAGGGGAAGGGAGACAGTGGGCGGTGTGAGAGATGAAAATAATAATCTATATCAAGGGGCCATGGGAGTTGGGGGGAGGAGGGAGGGAAAGAAAGGAGCTGGTCCCAAGGGCTCAATGGAAAGTAAATGTCTAGAAAAGAGCGATGGCAATGTATGTACAAATATGTTGGATACAATTGATGTACTGATTGTAACAAGCGTTGTTAGAGCCCCCGATAAAATGATCTTTAAAAAAAATACAGAAAATGCTTGACACAATTGATGTATGTATGGGTTGTGATAAGAGTTGTATGAGCCCCTAATAAAATGATTTTTTTTAAATACAGAAAACATTTATTTGTAAATAGAAAAAGAAAATGTAGAAAACTAGAACTTTCAAATGGGTCTAAAGCAGTGGTTCTCACCCTTCCTTATGCTGTGACCCTTTCATACAGCTCCTTATGTTGTGGTGACCCCCACCCCCACCCCGACCATAAATTATTTTCGTTGCTGCTTCATAACTGTCATTTTGCTACTGTGATGAATCGTCACGTAAATATCTGATAGGCAGGATGTATTTTCATCGTTACAAATTGAACATCTTTAAAGCACAGTGATGAATCACAAAATCAATGTCATTATATATTGTGAGATATTTATTTCTAATCACAAATCAATGAAATGTTGTCTTGGAGCATGGGGTAGCATGGGCACAGTCTTCACGCCGGGTACTTGTATGTGGGCGTATCTGCATGTGGGCGGACCCGCCTGGAGACGGACAGAGGATCGGCATCTCGGTTCCTAAGACCATCAAAATATGTGTTTTCCGATGGTCTTAGGCGACCCCTGTGAAAGGGCCATTCGACCCCCAAAGGGGTCGTGACCCAGAGGCTGAGAACTGCTCGTCCAGAGGGAGAGCGAGTGAGAAGGGGTTAACTCGCCCTCGATACCCAATTTGGGGACATGGGTCATCGCCAGATGCTCCTTCCTAGTCTGCCGAGGCTGGAAGTTCTGCTGCCATGTGCCCATCACGGAAGAGGCTTCTGGTATTTGGCATACCGGTGGCATAGCTTCCAGCAGCATCTAGAATGGGCAGAATCGTCAGAGACAGAAAGGAGAATCGTAGTTACCGGGTTCTGGGAGAGAGGGTGACAGGGTGGGGAGGGGCGTTGTTCAGTGGGTGTGGAGTTAGGACGATTGAAAACGATAAAAGATATGGACATTGATGAGAGTCCTACAGTCTTGTGTTCCTCTCACAGCCACCAAGTCGATGTGGACACTCAGTGACCCGATAGGACAGGGTAGAACCAGCCCTGTGGGTTTCCAAGACGATCACTCTCTACGGGAGTCGAAAGCCTCGAGGAGCAGCTGGTGGTTTCGAACAGCTGACCTTGAAGTGAGCAGCCTGAGGGATCCCCACCACACTCTGTGTTCATTTGTGATCGGCCTGTTTCACTCAGTACAATGTCTTCCCGCTTCATCCATACCGTCGCCGGTTTCTGACTCTCTCTCTCCTACTGAGAAGAAAATGTAAACTCATTTTGAGGCCAGAAAGCCCTGTCTTTCTCCTAGATTTGAAAGCGGTGATGTTGTGTTACTCTTTTAAACAGCCTTCCCTCTCTTGGCTGTTAGGACCCCCTTTTCTCCGGAACCCTGACTGGAGTGATGTCACAGATGGGTGACCTCACTGCCGCCAAGGAACGGGGCTCTCCATGGCCTGGGGGAGTGGGGAAGATGCTTCTTGACCACCCCAATCCCCCATGTCTGTGGTGAAGTCGATCGAATTAGTACTGCCCCAAGATGCCATCTACAGGGCTGGCTCTGACCTCAAAGGGCAGGTGATTCTGACCCTCAACAGCACCCTGGTGGACCCCATCGTGAGGGTGGAGCTCGTGGGAAGGGGTTACGTTGAGTGGAACGAAGAAACCGGGGCGTCCCGAGATTACAGCCGAGATGTGATTTGCAACAACAAGGCTGACTACATTCACAAAACAAAGACCTTTCCGATAGAGGGTAAGGATGAGGCTGGCAGCCCACCCTAGCCATCCTAGGAACGGGGGTCTGGAGAGAGCAAGCCCGCTGCCCTCCTGCCCATTCTAACTCACAGGGACCCTGTAGCGTAGCGCAGGGCGGAACTGCCCCCGCGGGGTGGGGGTGGGGGGTACATCTGAGGCTAATTCTTGAGGAAGGAGAAAGCCTCATCCCTCTCCCTCAGGCAAGACGGTTGGAATGGCTGCTTTCTCTGCAAGCAGCAAAATTAGGGGTCAGGTAATAGGTTAGCAGGTGGGGCATTAAGATGCGCATTAGCTCAAAGCGGAACCATTAGGCCACCAGGGCTCCTGGAGGAGCAAGGAAAACCCCAGCCCATGCCCCCAGGGCTGGCCTTTCTTCCAGAAACTGACAAGAGGGAGTCTGAACCCAGAGGCCTTCTGTCCTGCACAAAATGTATCCGTGGGGGTCTTTCTAGGCATGCCTACACCGCCCCCCGCCCCCCACCCGCAAGCCTTGGCTGCAGGAAAGCTTAATTTGAGATGTTTAAGCTTGATGACAAACATCGCCCCAAAGGGACGGCCTGAACACTCGAGGACCATGCCATTTCCTTGTGTCCTAGTCCATCCCTTTGTATGCCGGAAAGGGCGGGCGCTCCTACCCGGGGAGCTTGTCTTAAGGAGTCTGGGATGTCACAGCCTGTCCAGGGATCCAATCGCCAGGTTTACAGTGAGCGCTCAGTGAAGTGTGTGTTAGCTATGCCAACGTTATGTAGGTGATTTGAAAAGAACAAAGGGCAGGTTCGAAACCAAGAGGCTGTCTACTCCCCGGGAGTTACAGGCTCAGAAACTCACAGGGCTGGAATCGCCATCAACAGCGAGTTGGGTGTTGGGTTCGAAGTTCTAATGTCAAGAGGAGCCGAGGTCGTCTAGCAAGGCCTGGACTAGGAACTATAAGGTCCGCAGTTCAAACCCACCGGCCGCTCCCTGGGAGAAAGACGGGGCTTTCTACTCCCATAATGTTAGGGGTTCGGAAACCCACAGGGGCAGTTCCAGCTTGTCCCACGGGGTCCCCGTGAGTCGGCATCGACTCCGGGGCCGTGGGTTCAGGTCTCTTGGAGGCTTAATGTCAACCCAGTACTGTCCCCCGTGTGTTTCCAAGCCACTAGATCCACCACAACCCCCTCCAGCTTCAGGAGGAGGCTTTAGACCAGGGGTTCTCAACCTGTGGGTTGGGACGCCTTTGGGGTTTGAACGACCCTTTCCCAGGGGTCGCCCGATTCATCGCAGTAGCAAATTTACAGTTACGAAGTCGCAACGAAGATAATTTTATGGTTGGGGGGGTCACCACCACATGAGGAACTGTATGAAAGGGTCGCAGCCTGAGGAAGATTGGGAACTGCGTTAGAGACATGCAGGAAAGCAGAGACGTCCCAGGAATGCGGGTGGTATCAGAGGGTGCTCCGGTCCTCGACCATCATTCAGCCCATGACCAATCATGAAGCATCTACTGTATGCCGTGCATTAGCTCTTGTGGTGCAGTGGGTGACATGTTAGCCTGCTCACCAGGAGGTCAGCAGTTTGAAACCACCAGGAGCTCCACAGGGGAAAGACCAGGCTTTCTCCTCCTGCGAAGAAACCCACAGGGCACGTCCGCCCTGTCTTACAGGGACGCTGTGGGTCGCCATCTACTGAGGGCAGTGAATTTGCTGTTTACCGTTTCCTATGCCGTGTGCTAAAGGCCAAGCTCCCTGAAGGTGAGGGGGGTGGGGGGCTGTTGTCTGTCCACTGACTGACGGCTGTAAAGGCAGCCTGGAACGTCACGCAGCACACAGCACATGCTCGACACAGGGTTGTCGAGTGAATATGCAGCTGAATTCCCAGGCCTCGTGGTGTAGCCTCGTCCACCCTACTCCAGTCCAGCCAAAGCCTGGACGCGCAAACTCACTGCCAGCAAGCTGATTCCCACTGAGAGCGACCCTGTAGGACGGGGTAGAACTGCCCCTGTGGGGCTCCAAGGCTGTTTGTTGGTTTTTCAAAGACTTTAACACTTTACGGGAGTAAAAAACCTCCTCTTTCTCCCGTAGAGTGGCTGGTGGTTCGTGTACGGCGGATCTTGCGGATCAAAGCCCAATTTATAACCACGACATCCCCAGGCCTCCCTTGAGGTCCAATTGTATGCGTCCCTAACCACCAAGCAGAGCCTCCGGTTAATGTGCCCAGCTCCTAACTGAGAGGTTGCCAGTTCGAGTCCACCCCAAAGTAGCTCAGAAGAGAGGCCTGGAGAGCCTCTCCCCAAAACACAGCCACTGGCCGTCCGTCCCACTCGGACACCCAGCAGGGGGTCACCGTGGGTCTGAATGGCTGGGAGAGCCAATTGGTTTATGGGTAGTAAACAGAGAATGCAGCTTTGCGGGCAGAGAGGGTAAGCTGGGAACCCAAAGTCCGATCAGAACGCTAGCCAAAGAATGACCTTAAGAAACCGCCCTACACAAGGCAGGCTGGAAGGAAGGCAGGCGTTAAGAAAGGGCCCCGAGAAAGGAGGAAATTAGGAAAGGGACAGAGAGAGAAGAAAGGCAGCAGCGTCTAGAATCTTCTAGAACCTTCTGATGGCGTCGTCGTCGGTGTGTTTTGCTTTCAGATAATTGGTTAAGTGCAGGCAGCCACACCTTTGACTTCCATTTCAACTTACCTCCCAGGCTCCCTTCCACCTTCACCAGCAAAATTGGCCACGTTTTCTACTTTGTGCAAGCTACCTGCATGGGCCGGGAGCTCATTTTAGCCAAGAAAAAGATATACTTATTGGTCCAAGGGATGTCGGACATCGAGAAAGAAAGCTCCTTACAGGTACTGATGGGGACCCGTCCTCCAGCGCAAGGAGGGTGGGCGGGCAGGGGATCCGATTGACCTCACTAGGAAGACACCATTGACATGGAGTTGATGCCGACTCACAGCGACCCTACAGGACAGGGTAGAACTGCCCCTGTGGGTTTACATATCTTCACAGGAGTAGAAAGCCTTGTCTTTTACCCAGGGAACGCCTGGTGGTTTCGAACGGCTGGCTTTGTGGTTCACAGTCATCACACCAAACGCCAAATTCACTGCCAAAGAATTGATCCTGACTCGCTGCAACCCTATAGGGCAAGCCACAACTGCCTCTGCGGGTTTCTGAGACCCACACTCTCTGCAGGAGTAGAAAGCCTCGTCTCTCTTCCAACGGTGGCTGGTGGTTTTGAACTGTTGAACTTGCAGTTAGCTGCCCAGCGTGTCATCCACTGGCAGCTCCCAGAGCCCAGGGTTTCACAAAACCAGGGTCAGAAACCAAGACAGGAACGAGTGGTTCCGCAGGGAGAGAAAACACTGCCTCCCACAGGATTGTGTTACCCAGGTCTGAGACATTTGTGGGAGCCCTGGTAGCACAGTGGTTATGCATTGAGCTGCAAATCGCAAGGGCAGCAGTTCAAAACCACCAGCCGCTCCCAGGGAGGAAAGATGAGGTTTTCTACTCCTATAAAGTGACAGTCTTGAATACCCACAGGGACAGTTCTGCCCTGTCTTATAGGGTGGCTGTGAGTCAGAACTGTTTGGTTATTTTGTTCACTAGGGGGTCCGGGTGTGTGTGGGGTTACTACTGGCATCCAGTGGGTAGAGGTCAAGGATGTATCTCAGGACCCCACAGTCTCTAGGACAACCCCCCCACACCCACGGGAGAAAGTTACCTAGTCTCAAATGGCAATACGAGGCTGATCTAAGGGTCTGGCAGAAAGCAGGAGGGGAGAGATTCTGTCCCCCAGGGGGAAGTAGGTGATGTCTAGGGGCATTGGCCATTGTCATGAAGATGCTGCCCATCACCCCACAGTGCACAGGATGTCCCCTCCCAGAGGAGGCCCAGGACCCCGTGTGTCTGTAGTACCAAGGGGGGAGCCTGCATAGAGGGGGCCTCATGGTGATCCCCTCAGTGACTCAGGGGCTTGGGCCTTGAAGAGCTATAGATCCTTAACCGTGGAAACAAACGGGACCCTCCAAGAGGCTTGGGAAGGGCCTTGGTCCTAGGAAAGAGAGGCTGTGTCCATTCTGTTGTCTGGGCAGAGGGAGTGTCCTCGGGGCTCCGGGGGCCAGGTGCTGCCTACATGGCAGCCAAGGTCACAGAGGAGATCAAGGTCACCTGCCTCTCCTGGCAGTCTCCCTCAGCACCGCTCAGTGCACACCTACCTACCTTGACGCTCCTACCATCCATTGTGCAACCTCTGGCAGGCGATGTCATCCACGGTGCCTCAGTGTGCCCCCATGTGTCGGACTTGGCAGGTGGTTAGAGGGTCAGCCAGGGGTCCCACCCAGTTCCAGGTCACCCCACGAAGGTCAGGGTAGAACTGTACCCCGTGGGGTTGTCAGTTTCTGCCATGGCATTGGGTTTGAGGTGGATTGGAACCTCTGAACTTCCGTGAGCCCCTGAACGCTTTCTCTCTTTAACACCCCCTGGGGACACTTAGCCCTAGGCCATTGCGAGTCCACCTTCCTGCTGCTTCTGGGTGTCTCTTATCCGTGGCAAGTGCCTGTAGCATGGCGGCTTAGACACCAGCCAGTTGCCCCAGGAGGCTGTCTGCTCTTGGAAAGATGGACAGTCTCAGGAAACCCTATAGAAGGCGAGTCAGAACTGCCTCAATGGCCATGATGGGTCACTCTTTTGCTAGTAGGTGGTTGTCAGGAGCCGTGCAGTCGGTTCTAACCCATAGCAACCTTACGTACCCCCAAGCAGAAGCATCGCCGGCTGCAGTGCCATCCTCACCACGGTTCCCAGGCCTGAGCCCCGTTGCTGTGGCCCCCACGCCCACCCATCTCCTTGTCCTTCCTCTCACCTTGCTGCCCCTGAGTCACGCTGGACTGCAGGCCAGCATTGCCCAGAAGGAGAGCGCTCTGGCTGGGCGTTGGGGTTGTCTGCTGGGCCACTGTTTGTCCCTCTGGGACGCCCCTCAGGACTAGGGCAGCTGCCAGCCTCCAGGTTCCTAACCAGCCCTGGAAGGAATGTCACAAGAAGACAGGAAGGGTTTGGAATGCAATGGGTGCAATTAGCCAGCCAGAGGGGGGAAAGGGGAGGCGGCCATGGCGGCGTCAGCAGCAGCGGGCCCCGGGAAAGTGGGCGGGTGCGAGAACTGAGGGCAGAGGAAGGGGCGGTCACAGAGGTCAGAACTGCCTCCAGGTCTGCAGGAGGAAGGAAAACACAAAGCTCCGTGCCATCCAGGGGAGGCTGGCCCCCCGGAGACCCGGCTGGACGGAGCGGGGCTACCCCACTGGGTTTCCGGGCTGCCACTGTTCACGGGAGCACACAGCCCGGGCTTTCTCCCTCGGAGCGGCTGGTGGTTTCAAACTGCCGGCCCGGTGCGTGAGCCCCACGCCACCAAGGTTCCTCTCAGAGGCGGGAAAGCAGACCTCAGGCTGCCCCCCGTTTTCCAAACCTGGGTGGCAATGTAGTGCGTTCGGCAGCTTTCAAAATGTCACCACAAATCAGGAGCAAGGAGGACGGTCTGGCCAGGCCACGCTTAGGACGTGGCTGCGGCCTGTCTCCTGCGCGCCGGCCCTGGGAGTGGAACCTCGCCGCTGCCCTTGTCCGGTGCCAACACGTATCGCGAGGTGTGCTTGGGTGGGTGCATTCTCCAGGGCTGGCTTTTCAGAAGTAGATTGCCTGCCGGGCCTTTCTCCCAAGGCTCTTCTGAGCGGACTTGGCATCCAACCCGGCTAGGAGCGTTCACCCCATCTGCACCAAGAAGGCAGGGCGATCAGAGATCAGCTCCCCCGGCAGGCGCTGCATAAGAAAGACCTGACCATTGCCTGGACCTTCCGAGAGGGCAGTTCGACTGAGTCACCCGGGACCCCTCGGAGTCGAAATCGCCTTGTGAGCCCCCGTCTCAGTTCTCTGGTGCTGCCACAACAGAATGGCCTGGGGGGGGGGGGCTAGCATTTCAACCAACAGATGTCTCTTCTCCCCTAGTGAGTGGCTGCTGTCAGGTGCTCTCACTCCTGCGCAGGGGGCTGTTGGTCCAAGGTTGCCGCATTCAGCTGCTGATCAAAAACTGAGGGTTGGAACCTGTCCGACAGGTCCTCAGAAGGAACACCTGGTACCGCACTCCCTTGAGGGTGACGGTTCTGGAAGGCCCATGGAGCAGTTCCCCTGGGCCCGACCCCAGCTTCCTAACACCGACGGCTCGCAGGGCTTCAGGGGGTGACGTTGCTGTTGTCCCTGGTCGTCAGGCGTCCCTGGATTGGGATCTACCTGACGCGCCCCCTAGCACAGCGGCAGGGCACACGGTCCAGGCCTGCACCCTCGCCACCACTGCTCCTCTGTGAATCCGTGGTTCCAGCCAAGGTGCCCGTCTATCTCACCCAGGGCCTTCCTCTCTTTCTTCAGCCCGCATGAGATCATGGTCACGTTTTAGGGTTTTTTTTCAACGGTCTTATTGGCACATGGTCCACATGCCACACAGCGCAGCATGTCAGTCCTGTCGCGAAGAACCACACGGTGATCGCCACGGTCAGTTCCAGAACATTGCCTTCTTCCTTCTGCTCGGTGTCATCCGTGTAGTTATTGTGTTTTTTTACCGGTGGCCAAAATACACACACACACAAATCCTCCAGCTCAGCAACTTCTGCATGTAGAATTCCCTGCCGCGGATGAGACTCTTCCTGCTGTACAGCCGTGGTGGGTGTCCTTTTCCGGACTGTTCCACCACCATGAACAGCAACTTGGTGCCCCTAAGCAGCCACTCTTCCTCCTCCACCCACGCTCGCCGCCGGTCCTGTCTGCTTCCTCCTTCCTTCCTTCCTTCCTTCCTCCCTCCCTCCCTCCCTCTCTCTCTCTCTCTCTTCTCCTTGATGTGATACCGAACCGTACGCCCCCATTGTTAAGTCGCTTTTAAAGAGAGGTGCGGATATATCATCACCATCGGCCCTAATGCTCCCTCCCCGCAAAGGTCATTTCCCAGGCCTGGCACTATGGCATCGGTTCTCAACCTGTGGGTCACGACCCCTTTGCGGGGCGAACGACCCTTTCACAGGGGTCGCCCGATTCATCACAGTAGCACAATTATAGTGATGAAGCAGCAACGAAAATCATTTTAGGGTTGGGGGGGGTCACCACCACGCGAGGAACTGTAGGAAAGGGTGGGGGCTTTAGGAGGGTTGAGAACCGCTGCTCTGTGGGGTTCCGGAACACTATGGAGTTCTGGGAAAAAGCTGCCAAATCCAGGCACTGAGTCACGCTGGGTTGCACCCCTGCATTGCTGGGAAGGAGAGCACCCTGGCTGGGCTTTGGGGTTGTCTGCTGGGCCACTTTTGTCCCTCTGGGGTAAGGTGACCAGATTTTAACATGGGTAAAGCGGGACACCATTGATAAAACTCACATCCTGGCGAAATAGCCACACGACAGCCGAAAACCGTATACCCTAGCTTGTCGTGCATTCTTTCCAAAAATTGGGACTTTTTAAAAACACCGCGGGATGCGGGGAAAAATTGTTAAAAATCGGGACTGTCCCGCTAAAAGCAGGACGTCTGGTCACCTTACTCTGGGGACGCCCCTCAGGACTAGGGCAGCTGCCAGCCTCCAGGTTCCTAACCAGCCCTGGAAGGAATGTCACAAGAAGACAGGAAGGGTTTGGAATGCAATGGGTGCAATTAGCCAGCCAGAGGGGGGAAAGGGGAGGCGGCCATGGCGGCGTCAGCAGCAGCGGGCCCCGGGAAAGTGGGCGGGTGCGAGAACTGAGGGCAGAGGAAGGGGCGGTCACAGAGGTCAGAACTGCCTCCAGGTCTGCAGGAGGAAGGAAAACACAAAGCTCCGTGCCATCCAGGGGAGGCTGGCCCCCCGGAGACCCGGCTGGACGGAGCGGGGCTACCCCACTGGGTTTCCGGGCTGCCACTGTTCACGGGAGCACACAGCCGGGGCTTTCTCCCTCGGAGCGGCTGGTGGTTTCAAACTGCCGGCCCGGTGCGTGAGCCCCACGCCACCAAGGTTTCTCTCAGAGGCGGGAAAGCAGACCTCAGGCTGCCCCCCGTTTTCCAAACCTGGGTGGCAACGTAGTGCGTTCCGGCATCTTTCAAAATGTCACCCACAAATCAGAAGCAAGGAGGACGGGCTGGCCAGGCCACGCTTAGACAGAATGTGGCTGCGGCCTGTCTCCTGCGCGCCGGCCCTGGGAGTGGAACCTCGCCGCTGCCCTTGTCCGGTGCCGGCCTGTTGAGTCTGCTTCTACTGCGTCCTCAGTCTCTCAGTGCGGGTCACCTCGTCAGCCCCGTCTTAGATCTCTGGTGCGGCTACCACAAAGGGGGCTTGGGGGGGATTTAACAGACAGAGGTTTACTCTCGTCCAGCTTGTTGTTAGGTTGCGGCCCATAGTGACCGATGCAGGACAGAAGGAAACAGTGCTCCAGACTGGGCCGCCCTCACGATGGCTCTTTGGCCTGAGCTCATTGTTGGTGGCCACTGTGTCCATGCAATTTCATCCACGGCCTTCCTCTTTTTTCGCCGCCCCTGCACTTTACCGAGCACCATGTCCTTCTCCAGGGACCGGTCTCTCCTGATAACCTGTCCCAAGTCCGTGAGCCGGAGTCTCTCCGTCCTCGCCACTCGGGAGCACTCCGGCGGGACTTCTTCCCGCCCGGATGGGCTTGTCCTCTGGGCAGTCCTTGTGCTTCTCCAGTGTCCACGCTTCACATGCCCAGGAGGTGATTTCAAAGACCACCGCTTGGGTCAGGCCCACCTTAGTCCTCGACGTTACCCCCTTGTCTTCCAGCACTCGGACAAGGTCTTGCGTAAGGGAACCACCTCATGCCGTTTCGGAGGCTGCACATCCAAACTCACGACAC